TCCCCCCCCCCCCCCACCCCCACTCACCTGTTAACGGGAGAGCTCTCGTGGTTCCCCAGACTTGGGTAGATGGGCGTGTCAGGGAGATACTTGCGCAGCAGCGCCACCACGGTACGCAGCGAGGACAGCTGAGCTTCCCGTGGCTGCTCCCAGACGTCGTGGGCCGGCAGGTCACCCGTCCAGATGACGTACGCATACTGGGTCAAGGACAGTTTTAGTTTTAGTTACAGTTTTACGGCTGAAGATTAGAGGGGATACAAGAGAGTAACAAACACAAAAAGTAGGAGGGGAGATAGAGATGATAGATTTTTTAAAGGAAAGAAGGAGCAAACCACACAAGAGCAACACCGACAAATTCCAGGCTTCCAAAAGGAGAGGCAGAGAGAGACCCGGGACAAGTTTTACGATCTGCTAGAGCTAGACCAATGGTTTCGAGCTTGCCGGAAAATAAAAGATGCAGATTTGATCATTTTTACGTGTATTTGTGCATTGCTGACAGTTTTGCGTACTACAATCAGGAATGAAAGTACTGACAGGTTCAAAAACCTGCAAATCCCAATGAGTAAAAATGTCTACGTCTGAAAATGACACAGGTTGAGAAACGTGGTCAGATAAACACACACAATATTGTGAAACACACACATTCTTTCAAGATACACACATGTAGTACAGGTACTTTCATCAATGCATTCCTTTGACAACAATCAATCCAATCGGGTTCGTTGTCCTCAAAACAGCAATGTGCTATTCCTGGATGTTCATTTTTTCACAGATGTAGTAACTAACACTACAAAGTATCTTATCACAATCCCCACTGAGGCACACAATTTTTTAAAAAGTATCATGTCACTGTCACAGTCCACATTTGTGACCCTCCCGGTCAAAATCAGTCATATGAACGCAATTGCTTACAGGCTGTCAAGTCTGCGATAAGACAAGGGAAAACTTTTCTGCCCCCCCTAGTCGCTGACTACCACTACTTAAGTTAACCTCTCTCTTAATAAACATTATGCAGAGTAGAGTAGTTTCGTCGTTTCTTTTGTTGCTGTTGGGTTTTTTTTTTAGGTTTAGTTATATAATCATATGAGTGCAGAAGATTAGAGGTGTTATTAGAGAGTAACATACACAAAAAAAAAAGAAAAAAGAAAAACTGACCTGATCCTTCTGAGCGGCCAGGGTAGAGAAGAGGTTCTCCAGGGTCCAGAGGGGCGTGTCACAGCGACGGTAGTCCCCAAACTTCCAGGCACCGTCAGACTTGTTGGCTGAGGGGGGGAGAAGAAAAACAAAACATAAGCAAAAACAAACAACATAAGATTCACATTTTGCGGTCACTTGGTGCAATAATGCGCCGGTGAAAATGATCTGTTCCGGTGTCCAGATGCAGGTCTGAGAAGTCTGTTGCAGTCACTCTCCTGGCTGGGTGACCAGATGGGGGTATTTTGTACTGCTGGCTGTGTGACTGCAAAGTGTTTAGTGGGGCAAGGGTGTGGTTTGACTTCTTTTCGCTGTAGTTGTTGCTTGTCGTTGTTTTTGATTATCCATCCAACAGTGAGAGGTTGGCGGGTGCTCTAGTGTGGTTTGCTCCTTCTTTCCTATTAAAAATCTATAGTCTTTATCTCTCCTCCTTCCTTTAAAAGTTGGAAAAACATACATCATGAAAGGGTTAACAAATATTCTCCTTTGCAGATGTATTGGTCATCATCATCAGCCACTGGTGGATAAACTATTATTACTATTATTATTATTGCTATTATTACTATTGTTATTACAATCATTATCATTATTATGATTATTTTCTTTTCAAAATTTATCATTACAGCTATTTAGATGTTTTAAGACTCTGCTTTTGCCTAACCGGACTGAGAGGGATACAATATCCCTGCAGACAGTTTTTACTTCTAGTAGAGGTTTTACGGCGCTCGCAACTGCATAAGGTCGTATAAGCGCCAGAATATTAGAGGTGTTACAAGAGAGTAACAAACATAAAAAAGAAAGAGGAGAGATAAGGACGATAGATGTTCGATAGGAAAGAAGAAGCAAACCACACCAGAGCACCCGCCAACCACAAACCCCAGCACACAGATGCAGTGGCGGTGGGTAGTGAAGGGCTCACGAGCTTGAGCCCCCCTCCCCACCCCCCAACTTTATCCCAAAGCAAATGAAAATAACGAAAAAAGCAGTTGAAACCGTTATGATCGCACGCAATGAACACAAAGTGACCAACTTGGCAGCTTGCTCGTTTATCCAATCACTGTTGCCACCGCTTACAACTATAGTATCCTAACAGCCAATCAAATGTCTTTAGGGCTCAGCTAAGATGAGCTGGTTCCCACCGTCCCTCGTTAATGAAAGTTTTCTTGTAAAAAGGTAGGAGACTTGAAAAAAATAACACTGCACAGCGGGCTCACGCTGTCCTAGCCCTGACAAAAAAAAGTTTACGACACACTTTCCCCCTGTGACACAGTTACCTACGCTCCCATTGGACCTTTATTAGGCGCTGTCTACTTTCCTCGACTACACGGCCTAATCCAGCTCGTGGAGTGCTGTGTATGCATGTTTGTGTGTGTGCTGCTGAGATTTAACGGTTATTAATTACATCAAACCACTTTTGAGGCAACTTTTTCATCAGATGAAAATTAATTAGAGAAGTTTGGAGGAGAAGTGGTTTCGTCCCCAGCATCCAGAGGAATTAAAGGTGACTTTTCTCGTTTGAATGGTTCTCAAAATGCCGTGGCTCGCCGTGAGTATGGACAAATCACCACTGTTTTGTTCTTATTGCTTGCTATTTGGTGGTAAAGAAATGAAAGCAACCAAAGCCCCACCCAAATTTTCGTCCACCCACCGCCACTGCACAGATGGAAATACTTTGTAAAAACCTCCGCACTAGGGTACTGAACTCGGGTCTTCTGGGTGAAATGGTGTAGGTGTCTAACTCCTACACCACAGATTACTGTGGCCATAAATCGGGGATGCAACTCAACTTTTGGAAAATAGCTGAAAATCCACACGCCACGGTCTCGCTAACGTATGAATATCAATTTGAAACCCACAGGGTGTACATAGAAAGAAATGACAAACAAACAAAAACAATAGGTGTACATAGAAAGTGTGTGTGTGTGGGATTTTTTTTTTTCCAACTATAGATTCTATCTCGATCTCAATAACGGAATAGCGGATCAGGATCAAAATACCGAAAATACGGAAAAAACCCCGGAAAAGTGGCATCCCTGATAAATGCAAACTACATGTAGATCTAATCCTGAAACAGCAAATTTCCATCCGGAACCGAATACAAATAGGTTTTTATTCCATGTTGGGGCCTGAGATAGGAAAAGTAATTTTACATTGGGCAGTTCAAAACAAAACAATACTCCCCCCCAAAAAAATCCCTCTCCCAAGACATTATATTAACCTATCACATATATATCAATCTGAATGGCACTACATTAACCCTTTCTGACCATCTTCAGTATTTCTGCATTAGGAAAATTGAAAGACCTCAGAAACACTGCATCCCCTCCACACCCCCCCTCCCCTGCCAAATTGACAGTCTAGACCATTAAGAAGGCAGGATGCTTCCACCCTGCCTGGTCAGGCCAATTCAGGCTAAGTTAAGTTTTTGTAAGCGTTTTACAGCACTTGCTTCTCAATAAGGTCATAAAAGTGCCGAAGACTAGACCAGTTACAAGAGAGTAACGAACAAAAAAAAGAAGGAGGGGAGATAAAGGCAATAGACATTTGATAGGAAAGAAGAAGCAAACCACACCACAGCACCCGCCAGCCACCCACGAACCCAACCCAGGCTAAAATGGACACAACATAATAATAATAACAACAATACAGCATTTGTTTAGCGTATATCTCCTCTAGACAGCAAGCTGTACGCGCTTTACACACTATATTGTTACCCCAGCAGACCACAGAACACTCAGTAACTTTTCTCAGCTTCCCAGGAAGCATACAGTGCAAGCAGCTGATTAAGCCTACATTTAAAAAATCATTCTACTTCTCAGATTTGTAAATAATATGTCTCTCTATCATCAAGAGAGGGAAAAAATAAAAGCTAAAAGCAAAACATTTGAAACAAAGGGCGTCTTATGTGATGATGTAGCAGTTTAATTTTAGTAGAAGTTATACGCCACTCGCAACTGCATAAGGTCATATGAGTGCCAGAAGGTTAGAGGTGTTACAAGAGAGTAACAAACATAAAAAAATAAGAAGGGAGATAAGGACGATAGATGTTTGACAGGAAAGAAGAAGCACACCACACCAGAGCACCCGCCAACCACCCACAAACATTTGAAACAAAGAGCTTCTGATGTGATGATGTAGCAAAAGAGTGAAAGGTTCAGGTTATTTCTCTCCCACCACCACAACCCTCTCTACAAATAATATTTCCATTTCCCCCAGTAATTGAAAATACCAAATATTGTTGTTGTTGGGTCAATTTCACAAACATGTATTTCTACAACTACTCAAATTTAACGCACAATTTCCCCAGGGAAAGATAAAACTTTCAACAAATTTATTTTTGATTGACTGAGCAGGTGTTTTCCGGCACTTATATCGACTCAATTTTTGTCATGTAAATGCCAACAGGTTTTACTGCAACAAATCTATCATCATGTTATGTTTTAGTAAGAGTTTTACGGAGCTCGCAACTGCATACGGTCATATCATCATCATGTTAAAAGGACAGACAGACATTTATGAAAATCTGTGTAAATATGGTAAAGACTCTTATTTACATTGGTAAATTTATTAATTAATTTTTTTACCCCTTGTTTATGACAAAGCGGTGATAAATATCCACCACCACCACCCCCACCACAACCACCATCACTATCATCATAAAATGCCAGATCTGAATCAGACAACGGCAATTATGTTTACCATCCATTTCTCTGCTTGGATACTTTAACTGCCCCCCTCTCCCCCCTCCCCCTTAAGAAAAACCCCCAACAATATCCTTCTCCCCTCACTCATAAAATAATATGTTCAACTCGTCTAAGTAAGTTGTTCTCAGACTGATGGTTTTTCGTTTTAGTAGAGGTTTTACTGCACTTGCAACACAATAAAGTCATACAAGTGCCGAAGACTAGAGGTGTTACAAGAGAGTAACACACACTAAAAAAAAAAAAAAGAGGGAGAGAGAGAAGGACTACGATAGCTTTTGACAGGAAAGAAGGAGCAAACCTCACCTGAGCACCTGCCAATCACCTACCGATATATGTCCGATAGGAAAGAAGGAGCAAACCACACCAGAGCACCTGCTAACCACCCACTATGTCAATCCAGGCGTCCTTGGGTAACAAGACGTCAACAGAGCTAATATTCCACGGGCGAGAAAGATATCGCTAACCTCCCTGTGAGCTGACATCCAATATACACTGTCAAATTGAGTTTGAAAACTGCTCTACATTAAATGGAATCAAGTTACAAGTCCAATTGAAAGTGGTTCAAAAACAAGTTCTGTATGTAATAGGGCTGTCAATTCGAAAAGGAAAAAAGAAGAATAGGAAAAAAGAAGAAAAAAATAAAATTTCAGAAAACAAAGACAAACAGACATATTTTACAACTACATAACCAGCATCAGAGGTCTACTGGTTCTATAGGGCCTACCCTGGGCACACTGGCAATCAAATTCAGTCGAATTGAGTCGGGCCTAGCCAGATTTTGCTCCATTAAAGGGGTAAAAGTTACTATTGTTTTTTTAGTGCGAGTTCTACGGCACTTGCAACACAATAAGGTCATATTAGTGGAGAAGATTAGAGGTGTTACAAGCGAGTAACGAACACAAAAAAGAAGAAGAGATCAGGATGATAGATGTTTGATAGGAAAGAAGAAGCAAACCACACCAGAGCACCTGCAAACCATCCACAAAGCTACAACTTTGGCACAATTTTATCACATTCCCCAAAAACAACCATATTTTATATTTTAGGGTTGGTTTGTTTGTTTTAGTAGAGGTTTTACGGCGCTCGCAACTGCATAAGGTCATATGAGTGCCAGAAGATTAGAGGTGTTACAAGAGAGTAACAAACATAAAAAAGAAGGAGGGGAGATCAGGACGATAGATGTTTGATAGGAAAGAAGAAGCAAACCACACCAGAGCACCCACCAACCACCCACTTTTAGGGTTTTAAGAGTGCGATTACCAACACACCACCCAGCACAACGTGCCTACGTAACATAAAAAAAATTCAATGGCAACAAGACTAGAGGGCGACCGAGAAAGACCTGGGTAGATGGAGTCAGGGAAACGCTAACAACTCACGGCATCCCCCTGACCCAAGCTCTCCTGTTGCTGACAGAGAGACGTCTCTTTCTTCCCGTGACACCCAAAAGGGTAGGAGCGGCGGTATCAGGAGGATTTGATAAAATTGTAACAAAATGGTAGCTTCTGCCCCTCCAGGAAGGAAATTTGGAAGGCCCCGGTTCAATTTTACAGATTCGATCGAGTGGTAGTGTGCATAGGGTATTATGATCTTGTCTGTGAAAGACAGAAGACAAACAGAGAGAACTGACAGACAGACAGACAGACAGACAGACAAACAGACAATGTCACTCACTGACAGGCCCGCTATCGGCCCGACAACACACAGACAGACAGACACACACGTACACACACACACACACACAAACAGTATCACTCACTGACAGGCCCGCTATCGGCCCGACAACACACGTACACACACACAAACAATGTCACTCACTGACAGGCCCGCTATCGGCCCGACAACACAGAGGCTCCCCACACTGGGCGTTACTGCCAGGCTTGTAGGCCGCGTCAAAGTGGACGTCGGTCAAGTGGAGGAACTTGAAGGTCGGGGATCCTTTCTGTCAGG